ATGGCAAATAGCAATGTCAGGTATGAGAGTCCCACACACTTCTGGGAGGAAGTTGTTTGAGTTGACATATGAATTTTGTGAAGAAGCTACACTGCTTTCAAAGTCACCAGAACTTGCAGGTTCTTACTTAGCCTTGTCTGGAGTCTAAAGCTCCTAATGCCTAAGCTTTAGGCATTTCATGATTTACAAAAATGGTTGTGACCATGCCTGACTTTAATGCAGCCGCTGTTTGCCTCTCCTTCCAGACTGGAGATTTCCAAGGGGCTTGGTGAGAAACTGCTAAACCATAAGAACTAAAGTTCCATTTATTTGGTATGCCCAGAATGTTGTCTTCCCCTAGGCTGTGGTACACCCATAGAGATGGTCTTCGTTTGCATTAATCATTTTCATGCGCTTTGCACTCAGCTACGCTGGTATTCAGAGAAAAATGCTGCCATGACAACTGCCACAACAGATGGTATTTGATCAGTCTCTAAGCTACCAGGGAGATATATAGCAGTGCTTCCGAGGTTTGCATATTTTACGTTATCAGGGGACTCAAGTCCAGCCTTAATCACGATTGAAATGCAAAGTTTTCCATTTGCTTCTTATCTCCTGATTCTCTTTCCAGTTGTTTGGCATTTGTTTTGATTTTTCTAACGCCCTGGCTGTCCTGGGTGGGGAAATACTTTAGGATATGGGAGACAAAGGCTGCAACACACATAGCCCATGGAAGTTGCCCTGCAAGTCTGAAGTTCAGAGACTGTTGAGAAACTATTCGACTTTGGGATGGTGGTCTCAGCTGAGATTGGTAGAAAGGCTTAATTGCAGCCTCTCTCATGGATATTCAGGCATTACACAAGGTGGAGCCACATTTGGCCCTAAACAAAGGGCATTCTGGGGAAGTGCATCCTGGTCTTCGTCTGCCCCTTTTCTCTGCCTCCATCCTTCATCCAACACCTCCCTGCTCCTGAAGTCTCCAAGCCATATGGAGGTGGTTCCTCTTCTGGGTTTCCCCCTCTACCCCAGCTAGGGCTGCAAATTCCAGCAACTTAGTCCCTGATCTCTTAGACCCATTTCTGTGGCAACAACTACAATAGCTTCTCACCCAGTCCCCAGCCCCCTTCAACAACATTGGAATGTCAGACTTCCACAGATTTTTTTTTCAGCTAATTTTGGAAAGTAGTTTATATTGGCCACTACATGCTAATGAACAAGTTTGGTCTTATTTACATACTTTGCTGTTTAAGAGTCTTTTCTCTCACTCTGCCTCCCAACTTTAATCGGATCCTCATCTTATGCTGTGTGTCTGGATCACACATGAGCCTTGTTAAAGATGGGCATGAGGACATCATTGTGCTGTAATGAGCACTGGGGTGCTGCCACTGCAGCTGTTCCCCTCCTGAGATATGGTAGGAGTTTGCAATTTCAACAGTACATGAAGATGGATTGTGTTTACCTGTACAGTATTTAGAAGAAAACCTTAAGGTGAATTTTAATCACAAGAGGGCCTGGATCAAAGAAACAATCTCTCCTTCTGATCTCCTTCCAAATGAAGCCAGGAGGTTGGAAGCCACATCTGACCCCATTCTGCTTCCCAGCCTCACTCTCTTCCTGGGGTGCAGATGAAAGAGCGTGGGTCTCAGTCGCCTTGTCAGGAGTGATTTTTAACCTTAATGGAATATTATTAAAGAGTGGATTTGAGACTTGAGGAATGTTTTTTGAACTCCGTCTGTGAACACAGAAATCATAATAGAAAGGGAAAATTCAAGGCACTTGATGGACTTATGAATGATCTTTTAAATAATGACCAAGTGCCTAGTTTTAACATTTTCCGGAGTGCAGGCCAGCCATCTGGTTTTGGCTCTCTGTATTTCATCTCTTCAGAAGAAAACATTGGTGCCCTTAGGCCTTCTCTGTTCACCTAATAAAGGAAGATCCTAATGCTTCTCTTGTTTATGTGTTCTGATTCTTCTTGAGACACACAGGAATCAGGGTGTGTGTTGAACGGCTCTGTGGACCCTAGAGGAGGATTACCTCTGGCTCCTATGTATGACAGAGAGGAGGACCTCCTAGTTTCTCACCCAGCTCTGCCATTGACATTTGATCTGTGTAATCTTGGTCAAAAATATGCCCTCCTTACCTCACTTTCTGTATCATGTAATACTTGCTAAAACCAACAGCATCCGAAGAATTGATTGTCATGCTGGCACAGAGCAGACATCTACCCAATGATGCTGGCTGAATGAATGCTTGAAAGAATCCTGTAGGTCAGGGCTTCTCAATCTCAGCACTGTGGACATTTTGGCCTGGATAATTCTTTGTTGTGAGAAGCTGCCCTGTGCATTGTAGGATGTTTAGCAACATCTTGGCCTCTATCCGTAAGATGCTAGTGATACGCTGCCCCCATTGTGACAGCCCAGAATGCTGCCAGACATTGACAAATTGGTCCCTCACCTCCACCCTCTCTCCCTAGCCAGTGGAGAACTACGGATCAAAATTATGAAATTCTGTGGAAAAAAAAAAATGAACAGGACTTCAAAAAGTTAACAAAGAAGAAGTATTCGGGTAACTTATTTATAATTATTCATCCTTGTAATAGAATCGGACATTAAAAGAAAGTCCAGCAGATGGTTGAATTGAAATGTATCAAGGCTAGCCTTGCAAACAGGCACTATCATGTACTTTAAATAATGCTGTATGTGTTGAATGTTCCATAAATATAAGTAATATACTTTATGCTTCTTGGAATGTGAGATCTATAGAAATAGTGTTGTAGTAGAGCAGTGCTTTTCTTGAATATGTTGGCGGTTGTCTTTATTTTTTTCTTCAGTGCCATATTGCTGGACTATTGCTGAAAAAACTTAACCCACCTCATCATCCCACCTCCATGACACTTCCCAGGATAAATTTCAAGTCTACTATTTTTGATTTCACAATAAGAGATTCAGGGATAGTGAGCTTTTTCTTTTTCTCACTTTCCATGGGGACATAATTGCCAAAGCCTCACTTATCAGCCATGTGCAAGATATATAAAAGATGGAGGAGAGAGTGATAGGAAAAGGCAAGCAGTAGAAGAGGGATTTTATAATTTAATTATGATTTAAATACTATTGTCTCTTTTAGGGGGCAACAAATCCTTTTGAGTGGATTTGGTATATTACCACTGTGTACGACAGTAGAAATAAGGACTGATAATTAACATTTTTTTCTCAAAAGCAGGGTTTCATGGAATGGTGAAGTAGCATTTAGAGATTTAACTGTTATTACACTTACAAATGGGAGCAGATTGCTCCAAGACATCACACATAGGTCACTCCCAGCCATTCTTTCCTTTGCTTCCCCCTTCCCCATTCCCTCTAAGCCAGAGCACCTGGTTGTCTGCATTTATGTAAATGCAGGCTCCTATGTATGACAGGGAGGATCTCCTGGTTTCTTACCCAGCTTTGCTGTTGACATTGACCTGTGTAATCTTGGTCAGAAATCTGACCTCCTTACCTCACTTTCTCTGTCACGTAATACTTGCTAAAACCAACACCATAAAAAGTGGTCATCCATGGAGCTGGACAGAGGAAAGGAAAGATGAACAGAAAACTCACCTTTCCTCCATGTGTATTGGAAAGGATTTTCTGCAATGCTGGCAGGCATAATGCATAGCATCAACATTTAGTTTGCAGCAAATTGCATTCTGTCCTTTTTTCTAGAGATGAAAAACTGTCTCCCAGATGAGGACCCTTGAAGTGTGAGATAGAGGTTGGAAAGGAGATGAGAACCTGTGCTAAAAATGGAAGGATGGAGTAACTTGAAGCTCAGGGTTGAGTAGAGTCTATAATATGGGTGCAGTTTTATTCAGGTGTCCCCACAGCTTAACTTAAAGCACTTGGAAGATGTGACAACCAGGAGTAGATAAGGAAAATGCCTAATATCAATGGGCGAGTGAATGTGAACTTCAGAAAGACTGCCTTGGAGCTAGACTCTAATCAAATTAGAGTTCTTAAATGTAGACACTTTACATTTTCTGCAGCTATGAAGGAACATTGGGAAATTGCTTGGGGATGAAGACAAGGGTCACATTATATTGTGGAAGGTAATCATTTATTAGTTCAAAATAAATTCCATGGGTTAAATACTGATTTGAGTTTGTAGTTTGTAGGAATGTTGATGGAGCCTGGGAAGTAATGAGGGGTGGGGTGGTGGTGGAGGGGAATGAGTGGGGTCCCCATTTTGAAATGCAAAGTGTGTGAAATTCGAAGATCCCTGTGCCAAGTCATAAGCAATTTCTTTTACTTATGGTACCCATTGACATTAATCAAGCCAGAACATTTTCCTTTAAACCAAAAAATAATTAGCCCTGACAACTGAAGTCAAATTAGCCTCTTGGGAATGACCTAATTGTTCTTTCGGGAAAGCTGGACACTGGCTTGCCCTTGGCTATGGCATTAGCCCTGGCAAACCTGGGAGGTCTTGCAGACTCTGGCAGGTCCCTTCTTGCCACAGAAAGCACAAAGGACTGAGGGGTTCAGGAGGTCACAGCCCTCCCTAGTCATCTGCAATGCCTGCCATCCGGAGAATTTTTTGAGTAAATGCTACCCAGATTCCTGCTAAAACTCCCATTCACTGTTTGTACATTCGACTGCCTGCCTCTTTAGTGACTGGAAATTTCTCACAGCTGCTGGTAGATGGGTGAGTCCACTAACCTTGTCCCCACCTCCATTTTTCTGGCAACTGCTCAAGTTTTCAGGATTGCACTGGTGGTGACAGTGATCAAGATGAGAGCTCTGATTCCACCCTGGTTATTTTTGGCAGCTGTGAGCAATGCAAGGCCTCGACTTTTGGCCTATGTGGTTGGGATATTGGGTAACCTTTTCCTGTGCAAGTACAGACAAAGGAGAGTCCTATCCTGCTTTCATTCATCCATCGGCCGTTTTTACAGCATTCTGTTTGTCCGTTTTCTCTAATAAGAGATGGCTCTGGAGAAGCTGAACATTTATTAAGTGTATATTGTTGTTTCTCCCCCCTAGATTGAAAACATAGATGCCTGCTTGAATTTCCTGGCAGCTAAGGGGATAAACATCCAGGGGCTGTCTGCAGAAGGTGAGTCAGAGCGCTTGTCACGAAGGTGCCTCTTCATGATTAGAAATACCCACGTGTTACTTATGAATGATATTAACACCGTTAAGACAAAGGATGTTGGTGGGCTCCTCTGGTTTTGTTTTCCTTTAGGTTGCTCAGTGCTTGCCTAGACTTGGGGTTGCCAATGTTATTACTCTCCAAAGACTCACTCCAAGAATGTGGATTCAACCATACCAGCCACCTCTGCAAGAAACTGAGGGATAGTGAAGAGGAAGCTGTCCTATTTGAGAAAGCCTTGCCTAAACAATGCTGATTTGATTCAACCGTCTAGTAATTCAGTTAATTATCAAGTCAGGCCTTATCTGTGGGAGAGAGCATGCTTTGCCACCACATTTCAGCTGTACAGTTCCCAGGGAAAAATGCTTAATCCTTATCTCTCACTTTTTTTAGAGAAAGCAGCACTTTTTCTTGCTTAAAAAAAAAAAAAAAAAGCATGTGATTTATTAATGCAATGCTATATATTTACATCGTGATTAGTTTTTAATTAACTTAAATTTGGTGGCTAATTAGCACATTAGTGTTCACCAGTATTTTGCTATTAGATTAGTTATGGGTCTGGAGATGGCTGGTCAGAATTCTCAGCCATGTCAGACAACATCTCAGCCTGAAACTTTCACACTGTGTCCTGTTTGTAAATACAAGCAGCTGCCAGCTCAGAGCTGCCATAGGCCCAGGCATCCTCCCAAGCTCATTAGGCTGCACCTGCCTCCAGTTTTCCCAGAACAGGTAAAGCAGTTTGGGCTTCAGATGATAGTGCCTTTCCCTAGCAAGATTGCTTTTTGAAAGGATGCCTGTTAGCATGGACTCTGGTGGTCAGGGTGGGGCAGAGGAGAACAACGAGAAAGGAATCAGCTGAATGGAGCAGGTAAGTTTGCAAGCATGATGGATTCCATCTGGGACCTGTTTCTTGCCTTTGCTCTGCTACCTGGTGAAAGCTTGGCTTTCCTGGCTGCGTTTCTGAGTGGTAGTTTCTTCTGGTATTGGGGGTGGGTGGTATAAATGGGCACTATTAGTGTCTCCTGGGTGTGTTGTGTCTCTGAATGGGCCTGTTGGAATTCCCTAATTGGGAACTCTGATGTGCTGGACGTGTCCCCAGTCAGGCCTGGCCACATTGCTTCCAGAGATGACAGTAGCAGTTGTAGTCAGTTCTAATCCCAGAGGATTCCCCAGCTCTGGGGTACGGACCTTCATCCATGGGGATGAGATCAGGGCTGGCTGACATGTGGAATATGCTTTGCTTGGGGGTGGGGGTTTGATGGGAGTAGGAAGATGCTGATTCTCATTCAGAGGAGCACATGATTTCCTCCTGGTAGAGAGTTCTTGTGCTGGCTGGTAGGTGGCAGGGCATGCTCCTCCTAGTTTCTGGGAGTGATTGGACTCCTGGGACTGGCCTGTGTCTCCCAGCAGAACACCAGCAGGGACTTTTACAGAGGTGTACTTGGCAGCAGGGCCTCTTAGGTATGCAGACTCCGCAGGCCTGCTTTATCCTGCCTGGCTGGGAGACCCCTGGCCACTCAGCAATCTACTCATTGTCCTGACTCCTGCTTCATTTGCTCTCTCTATCTGCCCCATCCTCTCTGTACCCCAAGGCCTAGAGAATCTATGCAGTAAGTATTTGTTGAGTGAACAAGTACCAGCTGTGCTTTGAAAGATCTTATCTGTTTTCGCTTCAGTTCTCACAACTAAATTTGGAGTTTATAACAGCCTCAGTTTACAGATGAAGAAACGTTGGCTTAAAGAGATTGAGTGACATCCCTGAAGCATGTAGCTGGAGAAGGGCAGAGCCAGGATTTGCACCCAGTTCTGTGTGATTTCAGAGCTCATGATCATGGTATCTTCTGGGACAGCAGGTGGATAAAATCTAGGCACGCCATGTAAAGGCAAAAGAAATGAGATTTAGAACTCTTTGTTATCTGGAACATTGTTTCAGAAGATGTTACAGCCCATGGAGGCACATCATGCAGAGAGACACTCAGCTCTCTACCCCTTTTCAACATTGAGATGACCCTTGGAGGCCCTGAGCATGGAAGAGCATACCACAGCCAGGGTGCTGTGGTATCAAGCCATTATGGTATAACCATGAAGGAGTTTTATGGTATTTCAATAACTGCTTTAACTGTGCTATATTAAACCCCCATCCTTCCTGCTGGGTGAAGACTCACTTAATGATATTTTGGTCAGAATGCATAATTCTTTAGTCATCTTCAAGCTATTACAATTATTTTATGCCCATATTTATGACTCAGTCATGTTCATTTTTAAACGTCAATCTCAGACTCTACTCAAAGCTCTTTACCTACACTCCCTCCATAGCAAATGGCTTTGGGAGTTTGAAGAGAGATGGGGCATGGTAGCTAGACTTTCTCTCCTTTCCCCTTCCCGTATTCTTGTGCCTGAGCCCCTAGGATTGAGGCAGCACCGAGGAGGCAGAGTGCTGCTTCTGGGGCAGGTGCTGTCCTCCTCAGTAGACATCACTGCCACTGTCTTACCTGGTAGCTTCAGCAGGCCCTGCTGACCAGGACTTGGTCCCATGCAGCTCCCGGGGCACTGGTGGTCTTCTGTGAGATTTGGCCAGATTTTTCACCTCAGTCTTATGATCCCTCCAATACCTACCATAGGACGAGCAGGAATGTGTGGGCTCCATTTTCCACTTGCAGTGGGTGGAACTGCAAGGCCTCCTGTCACCTGGCAGCAGTCCCCCACCAGACAGTCTCTCTCTGGTTCTTTTCCCTACTCAGGTGGCCAAGGGGCAGATCAGCCAAGTCTCTGCTAAGCGAATGTCCAATTTGGGACCAGAATGCCGGACCCTCTTTCTTGCCAGCAACTCCCACTTTGAGCAATTCTCAGAGCAACCACTCCCTTGACTTCAAGGGGCCCAAGGACTCTGCTGCCTTGCCTCCGTGGTGAAGGAAAGGAAATATACTTTCTCCGTGATCATCAAACATTGTCTCCCCAAAATGACATTCTGTCATCTAGATCTTCTTATATTAGTTTTTTGGAGGATGGGAGTGATGATATTAGTGGTGAGACTGATTGTGAACTGCTGCAGTCCTTTGGGAAAGTGGCCCCAATGTCTGTCACATCCTCGAACTTATAAAAAGCAGAGGTACTTAGAGCCTTTTAGCCTCAAATTGGGCCTTTTTCACAATTTCAGGGTATAGGCAATATCTCATTTGACGTGTTAAATTACTGGAATAGATTTATTGAGAGCATACCACATGTCAGTCACTGAGCTAAGTGCTGTGCATATTTATATCTTACTTAGTACTCCCAGCAACCGTTTGGGTTCAGTATTAGTATCATCCCCATCATACAGATGAGCAAACCAAGGTTCAAAGAGAATAATAAGCTGCATATTTAAAAAAAGGAGGCCCACAAGGTCAGCAGTGGCTAAGCCACCCGCATCTGCTGATTCAAAGGCCTGGTGTTTGTTACCATACACCACTGCCTAAGTTTCTATCCACCTGCATAACTACTAGAAAAGCAGTGTGGTGTATTAAACAGTAATGTGGATTTAATGCTTTTTGTTTTCCTTTTGAAGATGACTGAGTGCCCTGAGGCTCCTTCTCTGATGAAAAAACATCAGCGGTTGGAAGGCCCCATAGATACATCTCCACCCTTTCCCAGTGACTAAAGCTGGGTTTGCACTCAGGAGGATGTATGCACCTGTCCTCAAAGCATTTCAGCAGCTCAGGCCTGCCCCGACCTGCCTACTAGAGAACCATAGGGAGCCTTTGTTCCAGGGTACAGACGACGGCGAATGCTTGGGGGCAGAGGCTGCAGGCCCGAGTGAGCCCCGTGGAGGTGCTGCTAGTTTGGGGAACTTCCCTGGACTAGGCCTCTCTGCCCCATCAGTGTTCCTGAAGATTGAACCCATCTATTTGCTCTTGGAGACTTGCCAGAGTCCTGTGAGCTTGGGCCTTCCTTTGCCCTGGGATGATGATCAAGACCCCCCACCAACCCTTCCCCAGAACACACCACCTGTCACAGCCATCTGTAAGCCTGCCCCTGTGAGGAAGGATGGCCTTTATCTCTGGCCGTTTTGAGAACACCTGGGGTTTGTGCTGTCTGGCCCTGAGCCCATCCTCCTGCAATGGAGAAGAGGAGGTTCGGGAGTAAGGCACATTCTGTCTAGTTCAGCAAGCGTTTTCTGGGCACATTTCATATGCCAGGGACAGTGCTAGGTACTGGGGTACACCAGTGATCAAGTCAGTCATATTAAACTAACCTTGATTCCAGTTAATAAGAGAGAGCTGTGTTAGTGGTAAGCACAGGATCCAGTGGTGACCAAAAGAAAGCAAATCAACTTTTCCTGGGGCTCTCAGTGGAGCTACATAGAGGTGGTGATGTTTCCCTCCAGAGTTTCGTGGGATGAGTAGGCATTTGCCAGACAGGAAAGGAAGCTGAAAGGAAATCTAGATAGAAGATCAGGCATAGATAATATTAATATGATGGGGGCAACCTTACAGACATTGGATCGACAAAAGTAGGAACATCCTTCCAGGTGGAAGCAGTGTATGCTTTGAAGTGAAACCAGTTGCTGATTGATTAGCTCAATCCTGGGTTTGCTGCCCTGATGTCCAGAGAGCTAGGTACTGAGTTTGCTCCTCCTTTCATCCCAAGCTGGAAAGTAGGAGGTGTTTCTGTACCGTAGGGTGAAAGCGGCAGATGGAATGTTTCCATTTCCTCCTACCTGTATCACCTGAGTATGGCATTGCCTGGGACCCTCAGTTTCTGCTTCTTAGCAGAAGGGGTCCCATAGGCTCTGCCCCCATCCTATCATCCCACTTCTGCTATGGGTAGAGTCATTGGCAGGCTTGGCGAGCAGCAAGACCACAGAGCGCTGACAAGTGGTGGGCAAGTTAAGTGGTGAATGCCAGTTATGCATTTGCCCCAACTGCAGGGACAATGCTGCAGAACCTATAGCCGTTGATCAGCTGGGTGAGCATCACACAACCGTG